CCTTGCATTTTTAATTAGGCATTCAATTCTATTCATCAACCCCGCTTTTCCCTGTGGAGATATCAAATCCCTCCCCTTGCTTTTAGATTCTTACCCAAATAAAACCCTATTGAGAACAATAGATATCCGAACAAATATGAACTAATTACAATTAGTGACCATTATATGATCGTCATTGTTCGTAAAATAAATACTTACTGTAAACAAAAACGCCACAAGAAAGTTGAATTTCGAAATTTAAAAAATTTTAATGTCGATAATTTCCAAGCCGACCTGTATAGTCAGGATTGGGAATTATTAGATAACCAAGCATGCGTTGATAAGATGTGGGATATATGGAAAACACTCTTTATGACAGTGCTCGACAAACATGCTCCAAATAAAGAGAAAAGAGTGAAAGATAAACCCAGTGTCCCTTGGCTAACCACTACAATCAAAAAACAAATTAGAGAACGAGATCGTCTAAAACTTCTTGCAATAAAATACAAATCGGAAAATTACTGGGATGCTTATAAATCGTCTAGAAATCGCATAACAGATGCTTTGCGAGAAGCCAAAACAGCTTATTATAAAGTACAATTTGATAAAGTAAAACATGATCCAAAACAAGCTTGGAAAACTGTTAATAAAATCCTAAATCGAAAGCAAAAATGTCCAGATATAAACTCTGTCAAAACTCAGAATGGAGAGATAACCGATCCAAATGAGTTAGCGGAAAGCTTCAATGATTATTTTACTAATATTGGCCCAGATATTGCAAAAACGATCGATAAAGGTGACAGAAATTTCACGGATTACATAACTAGAGTAACTAGTAATTTTAAGTTCCAAGCTGTATCTGAATCGAAAGTTAATAGACTTCTGTCTAAAAAATCCCGGTAAATCTACCGGTATTGACAAAATTCCAGCTAAAATTATTCGTATTGCTTCCCCAGTAATTGCAAATTCCTTGGCAAAAATTTTTAATAGGGCAATCACCAGTGAATCCGTTCCATCTGAATGGAAAGCAGCGAGAGTTACACCTTTACATAAAAAGGCCCTCGAAACCTGTTAAATAATTATCGCCCTATATCCATTCTTCCTGTTGTAAGTAAAGTTTTCGAAAAAGTATTATACGAACAGTTACACGATTATCTTGTTACAAATAACTTACTATCCCAACATCAATTCGGGTTTAGACGTAGTCACTCAACAGCATCCGCCCTTTTAGATAGCACAAATGAATGGTTTGTTAATATGGATCGTGGCTTTTTTAATATTGCAGTCTTTCTCGACTTGCAAAAGGCATTCGACACTATTAACCACGTTGTATTATTGAAAAAACTTGATTATTATGGTTTAGAAACATCAGCTTTAAACCTCCTAAAATCGTATCTAGAAAACAGAACTCAAATGTGCTCTGTTAATGGCACACTTTCTCGTAAAAAATTAATTACATGTGGAGTCCCTCAAGCTCAATTCTTGGGCCGCTCCTATTTTTGGTTTATATTAATGATTTGCCAAACAGTTTGGAGTATTCGTCAACAAGAATGTTTGCCGATGATACGACATTAACTGCATCTGGTAAATCAGTTGCTGATGTAGAAATGGCCATTAATTATGATCTTGCTAACGTAAAGCGGTGGCTATCTGCAAACAAACTATCCCTAAATCTTGTTAAAACTGAATACCTACTAATTGGATCTCGGCATAACGTCAACAATCTAGCCCTTGTTCGAAATGTGTTCGTTGGCGATGTACAAATTAAAAGAGTGAGAGAAACAAAAGCACTTGGAGTATGTATTGATGAATTTTTGTCATGGAATAAGCATATTGACAAAATTGCTAAGAAGGTTTCATCCGGAATTGGAGCGATCAGAAGACTCAAACCCTGTGTGGACCACAATACATTAATATGTGCTTATAACGCACTTATATTGCCCCACTTCGACTACTGCTGCGAAGTTTGGGATACTATTGGTATCACACTCTCTGATCGCCTCCAAAAATTACAAAATAGGGCTGCTAGAGTAATTACGGGTCGGAAAAACGAACACGGCCAATCTGAACTTGCTTTAAATGAACTAAACTGGAAAACATTGAAAGAACGCAGAACTCAATTTGTAGCAAGTCTCATGTACAAAATAACCCACGATCTAGCGCCCAAACAACTAATTGATATGTTTCAAAAGCCGCCTTCGTCTCAACATTATAACTTACGAGGTTATGCCACAAATCTCTATCTGCCCAAACCTAAGACCGAATATCTTAAAAAAGGTCTTAGTTATAGAGGAGCAAAATTGTGGAATGGCCTCCCAGATAGACTAAGAAATAAATGTTCTCTTAGTCAATTTAACTTAAGTGTGCGGCACCTGGCCAGTTAGATAATGAGTTTATGAAATTTTATTTATTTGACCATAGTAGAGTAATTATAATTGTATAATTGTATTGTAATGTGTTAGTCTTGTATATATATTTATCCTAATTGAGTGTAACGTTTGTATTTTTAAACCTACGCCCCTCTTGGAAATCAGCTCTTGCTGTAGGGGTTAGCGTAGACAAATAAAGTTTTTACTTACTTACTTAGGTGCGTCATATTGAGCGCTGTACAGGATGAGCCATGCCGCTTACGCATTGCGCACGCTCACTGCTTGCAGTTTGAGCGCTCTGCCATGGTTTTGATG